CCCCAAGTGGGATGGCCATGCCACGATCCCTTCTCCTCCATTCTCCTCTTGGGATTCTGGATACATATGCACACATCAGGTGTGTTCTTCAGACGGCTGGGTCCAGGACTTAAACTGTGGAGTCAGTCAAGTGAGATTAAGCACTCTAACCACCAGGCCATCTGCTGGCCCGTCTTTAAACATCTTTTAATTCAGCTTTTTCCCCTCTCACATACCTGGATCTCTTTCGCCCATGGAGTGTCGCCGTTTTCTGAGGCTGAAAGTTCCTCCACTAGCACCGACGGGAAAACTCCAATCCGCCCATTGAATTCCCCTTCCCAGAAGCCGTCGTCATCCTGGTTTTCTTTGTTCAAGATTCGGATGATCGCTCCCTCCGGAAAAGACAACTCATCATCGGTCTGGCCCTCATAATCATAAAGTGCTTTCACAAAACAGACTAGGGAACAAGAGAGAGACAGATTCAGTGAGGCCGCTGCAGCCACCCTCCGCTCACATGATGGCGAGCAGAGCTTTATACCGAGCCTCAGTGAGGCCGCCATCTTATTTACTTTATTTATTTATATACTTTTTAAATTCATATACCCACTGAAGAGCAACCTCAGGGTTTTACTGTAAAGGACAAATGTCCTACTGAATAAAGGAGAACACATCGGAGAATGGCAATAAGTTGTGTGTTTCGGCCTGCTACAGAAGGCTTACTCCAGGGTAACACAGTTTAGGTCAAACGCGACCAAATAAAGAGGGCCTGGCTTCAGTCTTTACCACTGGCATCTCCGTTGAGGCTGCCCGAGACGAGTTCTGCCTCCGTGGAATTGCTGGATGTGTGTGAGCGGCTGTCCAGAGCCGCCAAGGACTGCAGCATGCTCAGCAGGCTGTTCGAGGTGGGGAACTGCAGGTACTTTTCTGGCACGTAACCCACTTGGCCAACTTTATTTCGAGCCTGGGTAAAAGACATGGGACGAGACAGGTTTGCACGCACAATTTGGACAGAGCACCACAAGAACCAAAACAAACGCCTGGAAATGCCACAAGAAGGGGGTGATATGAGCAAAGGAATATACCTTTACCCAGTCTTCCATATCTCCATCTTCAATCACTTCTAACACCTCATGTTCCTCAATGGTCAACTCATCTGGTTGAGAAGCCTGCAATGTAGGATGGTCATGGACAAAATTAAAAAGGTTAGATAAAGAGCAGATGTGAGCTGATCATAACAAAAACCAGGCTCAAAATACTGAAATGATTTGAGAAACGTACCGAACATAAAAATTTAAATGCTGTAAAACTATCATAATGAGGTGAAGTTTTACTTTAAAAAAAAAAAAAAAGGAAATAAAACCACAACGAAAACTGGAGAAACGGAGTCCTCAGAACGCAATCAGGTCCAGTGAACAGAGCACGTGCTCGAAGAAGAGGACCTGGGCTCCAGCTCACATTATCTACTGGCAAGTGATTCAGCTGAAGCTTCCACTTCTTCAAGGTGACAGTCCTGCCATTCCCTGGAGGATGGGGGAGTCGATGTGGGATGGGAAAGCACAGAGCCGTGATGAGCTGGGAAACACAGGCAAAGGAGCAGGCACTGAACTGGAGCTGCTACCGGAAGCTACCATGGAGGTGTGCGCTGTGAAGATGCAAAGAACTATGTACATGGATTCAATGGCGGCTTGAGCAGCACCTAGGGTTGAGCTGGAACCACTGTACAACAGTGGCCAAAAGAAGAAAATTGTGGAAAGGCAATGCTTGAGGTGGTTAAAGGTTTGCATTTATTATGCTCCAACTTAACTATGGAGACCAGGCTGATCCACTTGGGTGCTTCTGCAAAAGCTGCTAACTAGGATGGTCCTATTATCCTTCAAAGCAGGAACCCATCACACCAGCTACCCAGAAATTGCCCTTGAGACTGCAAACCTAAGAGGAAACTCTGTGGCTCTACAGAGAGTCTGTTTTTGCCTCCTAATGAGCCTCGTCTGCCATGTGTAATAGGCAGGAGCTTGTTGAAATCAGTCTTACACGTTTTCCCCAAGTCCCAAGATAAATTAAAACTATCACCTAAAACCATACAGCTTTTCAAATCTTACAATCTCAAAGTACAAAGTACCTCTAAATTACACAAGGAAAAGGAAGGCAAGACAATGAGTCACTTTCTAAGCTCTATTTCCATTTAATGGACATTGTAACATTTTAAAACCAGACCCTGGGATCAGCAGATGGCGTAACGGTTAGGTTGCTGGACTCCTAACTCGTAAGTAGTTGACCGAGGTTCAAGTCCTGGACCTGGCAGCTTAAAACTCATGCTGGGCACATGTACATGTGTGCCCAAGATCTCGAGAGGAGAATAGAGGAGAGGGGATTGTGGCATGGCCATCCCCCGAGTGGAGATTTCTCTGGCAAGTGCACATTTCCTATAGCGAAAATCTCTCAAAAAAAAAACACCCCAAAAATAAAAACCCCAGATTCTGGATGCTGCTCTAGCTCACTGAGAGACAAATAGCATTCAAAGTCTCCAGGACCAGATTTTTAAGTAAAGTACCTCTGATCTCAAAATACGAGAGAAACAACAACAAAACACCCACTCACTTTTGATAGCTTTCCCAGTAGATTTCTTTGCTAGTCTGAAACCACACAGTGTCTTGAACAAACATACAATAAAGATGTTTTCCTAATTCCAAGCCAACAGCTAACAGCATGTCAGACTTCAAAAGTAGGAGGCATAGAGTCCCTTGAAGTATACCACTACCCTTGCCAAAAAAAAAAAAAAAAAAAAAAAAAAAAAAAAAGTCGGGCAGCGGGCTGGCAAGTGGTGTGGTGGGTAGGGCACTGGACTCCCAGATGGCTGACCACAGTTCAAGTCTCAGACTTGGCGGGCTGCTTTTTCCCCTTTCCCCCCGC